AAAATTCTAAAATTTCTATAATTAAATTTTTAATAAATAATAAAATCTAATAAAATGTGATATAATTTATTAAAACTTTAATAGGTTTGAAAATTGCACTTAATTATTTTGAAATACGTGGAAGAAAACCCTCTTGACACTTATTATATTCAAATTTTTAATTAAATTATTATTAAAATATAAGTATTACACTCTTGTCGATATCTCAAAAAAATAAACTGCCGAAGTTTAAAGATCAACTATAGATTCATTTATAGAAAATAGATAAATTCTTCAACTTTTATTTTTTACCCAAAACTGGTTGTAATACAAAATTTAAATGATGAATGTCATGGGTGTAGCCAGAGAGGCTTTAGACGCCAATGGGAAAATAATTAACATACAGTACTTCGGAAAAATCTAAATATGAAAAAGACGCACAGAATTATTAACCTTTTAATAGTAAACAAATATTGAATTAACGTCAAGTACAATATAATATTGAACACATTTTTTGTGCTTATCATAACCTTTCAGACAGTTATTTAACTTCAATAACTATTATATAAAAACTTTTTAAAATTATTTTAAAACTACATATACAGGAATAGACGAAGAGTACCCTGAAAATGACTATAGACTACAAATGAAAAATTGTTAATAAAACATATTTTTTAAAAATAATTTAAAAAGTTGTGTATTATTTAAACAATTAACCAACCAGCCCATTGAAATATAATAGAATAAATACAAATCGAATGAATCTAAATATTTAAATGATAGTTTTTTTTAAAAATAAATATTTTTTAAAAAAAATAAGTATTTTTTAAAAAAAATCTTTTATAAACTTAATATTTTTTTTTAAAAATAAGCATTTCTTTAAACATGAATAATAATAATTAAGTACAAAACAGGTAACAATGCCACTATAATAGTATTACTAATAGTAGTAACAGTAATAAGTAATAATAATATTAAAAATAATAATAAGTAATAATAATAATAATAATAATAATAATAATAAGTAACAATAATAATAATAAGTAATAATAATAATAAGTAATAAAAATAATAAGTAATAATAATAATAAGGAATAATAATTAGTAATAATAATAATAAGTAGCAATAATTGTAAGTAGTAATAATAAATAATAATATTTAGTAATAATAATAATAATAAGTAATAATAATTATTACTAATAATAATAATTACTAATAATAATTTCTGATAGTAATTACTGATAATAATAATTACCAATAATAATAATTACTAATAATAATAATTACCAATAATAATAATTACTAATAATAATAATTACTAATAATAATAATTACTAATAATAATATAATTAATAATAATAATAATTACTAATAATAATAATTACTAATAGTAATAATTACTAATAATAATAATAGATAATAAGTAATAATAATAGTCACTAATAATAATAATAGATAAGTAATAATAATAGTCACTAATAATGATAATTACTACTAATGACAATAGGTTAATAATTATTATTACTAATAATAATAATAGATAATAAGAAATGATAATATAATTACTAATATTAATGGTGATAAGTAATATTAATTGTATATAGCAGTTATAATAAATAACAATAAGTACGATACAAATATAAAAAATTAATGAATATTTCCAAATATTTATGTTTAACATCAATTTTTCAAAATTGTCTCTATACGTCAAAGTAGTTATTAAGATCTAAAAGCTTTGCATAACCCTAAAAATTAAGCATTTTCCCTTGAAATGGTTTTTACCAAGTTAAAGTACAAACTTATAGAAATAGGGGTTCTCTTCAGACCGAACTAGATAAAGATTCGAAAATATAAGTGGTGTTCAAATTGATCTTAATATTCGATAACTTTTTACATACGATCTGTTTTTGTTAGATTATATTACATAAATTACCTAAACATAGAAGTTAAAAGAATACTGACTTCGACCTGTATACCACCCACTAACAGTTTAGAATGTTCTCCTTAAAACAAAGTGTAACCATTCAACTATGGAATTGAATTATACAATTATATATGAGCGAATAAGTCTAAACATTTAAATGACAAACATTATTCAATCATACTAACATCTCAATTACGAAAAATATTTCTAATATTTTTAATGTATGAATATATTAAAAATTTTTTCGTTTTTTATAATCTTAAATTAAATAGCTTATATTTGATTATCAATTCCTAATCTGTGTCAGTATTATCTTGAAATATGTTTAAATATTATATTATTGCTTTAAACAAGGTACTTGGCAAGTGTTCTTATATAAAATATATGTACTTATGTGTTCAATAAAAGTTTTTTAACTACACGAGTATATTATTATGTATATTTTCCCATACATAATGTCGAAGTTGTAGAAAGTATTAAAGGTATAAGAAAATTATTAAATGTATGTATACATGTGTGGATGCTTTTATGAATATAGAAGCATTAAGTGTTTCCTTTGTTAGAATTAACTAATTGAGAGAGCACTATACTAACATAAATAGGTTAAAATATAAAGAAGAAAAATATATATAGGAATATAAAACATTTACATTTATTTGCATAATATTTATTGAACCAATAAAAATAATTAGCATAATTTTTTTTGTTATATTAAACCAAAGCTTAAATTCACGATTATTTTTTTTTTTTTTGTAATTTATTAAACAAGTATTTAGGATTGGAAATTTTGTCGGAATAAATAAAAAAAAACTTTCTTAAGCAGCAGCATAAAAAAGTTTACATTAATAAAAGTATGTTTTTTACATTTATTTAAATAATACCTTTCAAAAATAAATTTTGATATATAGGTTATAGCATAAAATTCACAGAATTTTAAAATTTTCTTTCGAATACACATAACACAACAACAAAATACAACAACATTGTATACACAAAATTCATGCCGATCGCACTAAATTTGGGTAACTTAGGGCTAATTTACAAAGCACACTTAAGTGTCGCTTTGACACCAAAGCGATATTTATTTAAATTATTTAAATAAATATTAAACAAATATTAATATTTAAACATTAATATTTAAATATTAATATTTAAATATTATTATTTAAATTTTTAGTGTACACTAGTTTAGTGTACACTATTGTTTACTTAAGAATTACTTGACTTAAGTGTGTATTGTAAAATGACCCTTAAACATTTAAAAGTATAAGACGAATTTTCTAAGTATGGAATGGAATATATGCAACCCTGTTTCTGCTTTAAAAAAGCACAAAAACCAAAAAAAATTATGAAAGGAAAGAAGAGTAGAAATTTGTTAAAAATTTAAAACATTCGAGGCATTTTAATAATATACATGAATAAAACAAAATAAATTTTAATAAAATATATTTTATTAAAAAAATAAATAAATTTATTTTCACTTTTGTTTTCGTGTGGAAACATAAAAAAAAATGTTCAAGGTATAGTTTTTCTTTTTTTTTTTGAATTTACCAATTTTTATATTGAATCGAATCCATCATTTTCTCTTAATGGCATGCGTCCACAAAGCCAAACATAACTGGTAGATGGTAATTTTTAATTATACAACAACTTAAATGATGAAAAAAAAACACACTTTTTATGAATAAAGAAAAAAAATTGACTTGGTTAATGTAAAAAAAAAACAAAATTAAATTATTTATTAAAAAAATAATAAATAATATAATGTTTTTGCCTAACAAAAAATAATTTTAAATTTTTATTGAATTTGCAAACAAAGAATTATTAACTTTCCTGCCTTTACTCAAATATATGATTATTCTTAAAAGAATAGTTCGAAAAAAATTTACAAACAAAATTTTATACAATTTCCAAAAGGAAAAAACAAATTGTGTGCCATTATTTAAAAAATCTAAAACAAGCAAAGCATAATCTCATCTCTCTAGCAGCGTTTTGAACTTTTGATAGTCTCCAAAATGTGTCTTACATTATAAATTAATATAAGTCACATAGTGTAAACACTCAAGATTTCAAGTTATAAAAAAAATTTCATTTTGAATAGATAAATATTTTCTTGCTTTTTGATTTTAGTAACACACACACATATTTTTAGCTTTGATTTTGCTCTTGGCACAATTAACATATTTTTCTCTTTTAAATAAATAAGAAAAAACAAAAAAAAAACAAACTTAAATATTTTTTCCTTTTGGAAATTTTACAGTACTGAAATTTAAATATATTTTAAAAGCAATTCTTTGTTTCTTCTCTGTATTTTCTTCTTCTCGTAGTTAAGAATATATATTTTGCTTCTGTTCTGCTTTAAATTTTGTTTTTATATTGATTTGTTAAATTTTGATGTTTAATTAATATTTGCATAGTCAAAAGGAAACAGTTTAGTTTGGTTAGTTATCACCACCCTCCTGTGGTTCATCTCCGTCCCCTTGCGTGTCGGACGTCCAGAGTGTAAGGTTATCTCTCAACAATTGCATAATAAGTGTTGAGTCTTTATAGGAGTCCTCATTGAGTGTATCCAGCTCAGCTATCGCATCATCGAAAGCCTATATACAGAATGAGAAACACAATGTTAAAAAAAATATGTTAGTTTTTATATTAATATATATACTATATATATTATATATTTATTTATATATAACATTTAAGCATTTCTTTTTCATATTAAAACAATTAAAACACATTAGCAATTATTGTCGTTTTTATTTAGACTTTTAGTTTTAGTGTATAAAAAATGTATAAAATTAAAATTCAGTATCAAAATAAAAATAAAAGAACACGTTACATCATCATTATCAATCAATCAATCAATATTTGACAGAATAACCAAGCAATTAGAGCTTGAAGCATGGTCATCAACATGTCAAAAAGCATACTTTTTATGGTTAACGTAAAACAATCAAAAATGCAGTTCGATATCGTAAAAAAAGGTGAGATATATTTGTATGAACGTAAATAATGTTGAAGAACGAACATACAATTTTTTTTTTGTTTTTGTGTTCTGGAACTGGAAATTTATTATAAATTACTACCAGCAAGGACTACTAAAAATGTTAAAATACTAATTGTTATAAATAAAATATATGTTATAATTTTTTAGGTTTCTTATTAGTAACTGCAAAGCTCGCGACAATAACTAAATATGTTAGTAATACTTTTTAGCATAGATATATTTTACCTAAAGCACATAATTGTCAAATTTTTTTAAGGATATTTAATTAATTTAATTACTTATGCATACTGAGTGATCTTACTTTTGACCCACTATTGTATTAAAAATATTTTATTATTTTTGCTAAGGATGAAGTTTTTATGTAAATATAATTTAGAAATAATCTGAGAATTATAACAAAATAACAATGACAAAAGATATTTTATTTTAGAAATGAATTAAAAAGCATTTTCTATGTAATTAGTTATTAAAAATTTATAAATTTCATTGAAATATCTTTAACTAACGTTTCAAATAATTTAAGCAAAATTAAAATAATAATATTATAATTAAATAATTAATTGAAAATTTAATAATCAATTTTCGATCGAATGCATTTATACACTAAATTTTTTATCGTAAATATACGCTGTACTAAATTTTATATATATCGCTGTGATACTAAGCCAACATAGCTAAAAAATAAGACCTAATATTACATTCCTTTCCTTTTATAAATATTTATTATAACATACATATATAATCTTTTTTAAATTGTTGATAAAATGCAAAACTACTTGTGTTTGCTAAACGTAATGAAATTTTAGTTCAACTGCAATAGATTTTGTATAGATTTGAAGATTCAAATGCAGCAAATATTTCAGAACTCATAAACGCTATTGGAATTAAGCTTCTATTAGACAAATTTCAGTTCAAATTACTGGACTATTGTCATTACATTCATTACTAGTTTAATTCAATAGATCAAAAAGCTGTGATTCTAGAAGTAGAATACTTTAACGTACTTCGTTTGTTAACCTAATCTATTTCTAATTCAATTCTAATTTAATATCTTAATACTATTTATTAATTTATTTAATTGAGGTTACAAACTTTACATGGGATAGGAGACATTGTTAATTTGTATATATACATATATCACGTCAAATTTAAAAAATAAAATAGAACTTAAGTATCCAGGATATGGCGGCATAGCACACAAATGGTTTGTATTATTGTTAGTATATACAGAATTGAAATAGGTATATGCAAGCATATATATATTTATATATATAGTCAACATTTAATATTAGTTTCATATATGTTAAAAAGTATCTGGATTTATGTACAGCACAAAAATTGTTTAACACATTATGGAGGTCATAGCAGAGCACAATTTAATAATAAAAAAAAATTGCAATTATTATTTGATTTATATTAAATAGCGTGTGAGTAATTGATATAACGCTTATTTAACAAACATTTTTAATATCATATATATAAAAAAAAACTAAACCTGTTTAGCTAAATGACACGCCCTCGCTGGTGAATTGATAATTTCATAATAGAACACAGAGAAGTTGAGTGCAAGACCTAATCTGATTGGATGTGTTGGCTGCATTTTGGTTTTGGCAATATCGAAAGCTTCCTGATATGCCTTTTTCGAATCCTCAACCACGGCTATAATATTTATTTGATGATTATCCAACAAAATTTTTTCATATGATAGCAATTCATGTTGTAAATTTGATATGATATGTATTGGATGAACCACGTTTAATTGTTAATATCATACAAAAATCATACAAAAAATAAATTAGATTTTAAAATGAGCAAATGTACTTAATATTAATATTAAAAAAAGTAATAAATCTAATCATTTTCTTTTTTAAAAAAAAAAATATATATAATAAATCAAGAAATCTTTTAAAGAGCTCTCCTGATTTCACTATATATTTATACAACAGATACATATTTTGCACAACCTAACCATCACCAACTATAAATCTATTTTCTTCGTAGTTAATGTCTAATAACTAAATTAACTTTAATCAATATTAGCCTGTATCAGCGTTAAAGAAATGTTAATATTTCAAAAACTGATTTAGATCTGATGTCATTTTTATCTTTTATTCACCTTTTCAAATATCATTGGAAGTTTAAAACGTTGCAGTGGATGATGTCACGTGTTTTTATTATATTTACTTTTACTACTATTTGTTTTTATACATTAATAATTTTGAATTATTAAGAGTTTTATTTATTTTTAAAGAAATACTTAATTTTTTTTTGCATTAATTATTGATTTTTATATTAACCTGTTTGGCCAACTGACAGGCCTTGTCTGGTGAGTTCAAAATCTCATAATAGAAGACAGAGAAATTAAGTGCAAGACCCAATCTGATTGGATGTGTTGGTTGCATTTTACCCTTGCTAATTTCAAATGCATCCTGGTAAGCTGTTTGAGAGTCGTCTACAACAGCTACAATTTTGTATATTTAAATTAATTATTTGAACAAGGATTGTATAAAAAAATTTATTTAAATTATTATATATATTCTTGAAGTTACATAACGGAACGGAATTATTTTTATAAAAATTTTAAAAAAAAATACTTACTATTGCGTGCGTCTCCTGTGGCCACCTCAGCTAAATACCTGTAATAATCTCCTTTCATTTTCAGGTAGAAAACCTTGCTCTCTGGATTGCTGGCTTTTGGAATAAGGTATTTGTCGAGAAGACCCTAAAATAAAAATAAACAAAAAATAAATCAATAATGAATTGTATATTTAAATATTTAAACAATATATTGTAAATGGAAAAAAAATGTACATATATATAAATAAATATAGTTATTGGTATATAATAATTTATTATTTGTGCCTATTGTTTAAAATTTAATAACAAAAACATGTATATATCACAAATTTGGTAGAATGGTTTTAAACTACTAGTTTCTATTAAATATAATAGTCACTTCCGCAATAACTGACGTTAAATTAAAACCTATATTAAAAATATAAAATATATATAAAATATATATAAAATAT